TTTCACACAATTGTTTTGTTTACTAAAATCTCAAGTTGTTTACAATTTAGTTTAATGTTCAGTTGCTTTGTTTGTTCTCATTTTATCCGCTGCACCAATTTGATCTTGAGTTTGTTGTCTTGTGGGATTACACTGGGTATCTTGTTGGTTTTCATGGTCTTGTGAGAGGTTGGCTATTGATTGTTTCAGGAGAGGTAGAAGTAGGCCGAAGAACTATTGGAGAGGGGTGATTAGACAGGACATGGCGCAACTTTAGCTTACTAAGGACACGAGCTTAGATAGGAGATTGTGGGGGACACGGATTAGGGTAGAAGGTTAATAGGTAGTTGAGTGTAGTCTTGTTTTGTCCTTCCATACTAGTAGTTGTAGTATTACTCTTGTAGGTTCTTGTTCCTTTGATTTGTATTACTATATAGATGTTGTTCCATGTAATTCAATTATCGTATTATTTTTTTGTTGTTATGGTTCCTTTATAGTATGCTTTGTGTAGTTTTTTGTCTTGGTTTCTTCACTCATGTTATTTTCTTTAGCCGAGGGTCTATTAGTAACAACCTCTCTGCCTCCCAAGGAGAAATCAATACCCTAATTCCTTATATTACGAAGATATTCCTAACATTGCTAAACTATAGTGATAACATGCTGTATAATGAAGCTTCTGTTGCCTCACAATGAATTAAGTGTTTAATTGAAGATGAATGGAAATTTTTACACTCGTTTGTTTTGAGGGAATTCTCCTGCATTGAAGGATGTTGTTCAGGCTCGGTCTTTAACTTGTTGGGTTCTCCATTTCTGCCAAAAATATAGATCCTTTAAAGTGTGACCTTATTTGCTTTTAGTGGTTTGAATGTCAAATCAGTTGGTTGCCAATTCTGTGAAGACATCTATTTTACTGTTACTATGTCAAAAAATAAAATAGATATCTAATTTGAGTTGACCAAAAAGATACTCGATGCTTTTAGAATTAGTTGGTTGACCCTCGAAATTTGTTATACTTATCCCTGATAAACATAAATTGAATTATCTGGAGCATTTAGTTGTGAGCATGAGTTTCCTTTCTTTTTTTTTTTGATAATGTTTGAGCTAGCTTGTACACAACTCGACTGTTTTACTTGGACCAACATACTCCTATAGACAAGTGTTGAGTTAAGTATGTCCATGCAAATGGAGAAAAAATCATCTGTTTTTTTAAATCTCAGCTAGGATACGTATTCTAGTGTTATACCAGTTTCATTGATCGCTTGGTCATACGCTTGTGCAGAATATGCAGTTGTAAACACGAGTAGCGAGTGACTAAAGTAGTGTTTTAAATATTTCACAGGAGTAGCACATGGCTATATTCACTTCTTTCACCACTTCTGATGGGACTTGAGTTAACTTTTCAAAACTACACATTACTGATATTGTTTGGGCACATCATTGCATTTATTGTTGTTCAAATAATCAGTGAATGTGAGAGAGAGAAGCATATATGGGATGTTCTCAATGATGAATAGATCTTTAATAATTGGCATCTTAATAATTCATTGAGATCCTTGAGAATTCAGTACCCCTTTCTTTTTATATATTTTGGATAAGGTTTTGCATTCAGTTCTCTTCATTCTTTCTTCTTCTCTTTCTGAAAAAGAAGTGCTTATTCTGTTACAGTCACCATAGCTTAGTAGTCTAGTCCTTTTCTCGTGGTCTATTGCACTGTACACCCTTTTAGTCATTTACTCATTGAGTGCCAACATGCTCCTTTAAACTGCATAGAGAAAGATGAATAAAGGTGAGGTTTCTTTTTTCCTGCTTTGAGTTGGAACAACTAAGAAAACAAGCTAATTTAGAAGTTGTGGTATTCGGGCCAACTTGCGCACACCTCGACTGCTCCACCTGGTACCTGCTACTTCCACTATCTTTGGTAACTCTGCCCACAAGGGTTTAGGCTTGAGAAGAATCACCTAGTGTTTTTTACCTCCATTGGGATTCGAACCTGGACCTCGTGGTTCTCGTCCCACTTCATTGACCACAGGTACAATCATAGTATGAATATATTGGATTGTTATTTTGTGCTGCTAATTGTCTTTTCCACTGTTCACTGCATAGACTTGTTGTGTGCCTTGGAATTTTTAGCTATTTAGGAATTGTCATGTATTACTATTGTGTACAATTTTCAGTTTTTGTTTCATGTACTCTTCCTATTCATTGAGTTAGCTCCAACTATGATAGGTTTCCGCAATACGAGTAGGCAAATCTCAGCATCTATGACAGCTGATGGTAGATATGTGGTCTGTGCTAGTGAGGATTCACATGTCTATATCTGGAAACACGAAAGTCACTCTCGACCAAGCAGAAATAAAGGTGTTACTGTTACACAGTCTTATGAGCATTTTCATTCTCAAGATGTTTCAGTGGCCATTCCTTGGCCTGGTATGTTGGATACTTGGAGATATCATACTTCATCTTCCGGGGAACAAAGTGGTCATGATGGTCTTGACGAAGTCTCCACTGCTAACCATCCACCTTCACCTGTTGAAGAGATTGACAACGAGTGCTCGCCATTGACTTCTGGCTGTGGTAACAGTCCTCTTCATGGAACCATATCTAGTGCCACAAACAACTACTTTTTTGATAGAATCTCAGCAACATGGCCCGAGGAAAAACTTCTCTTAGCTACTAAATATCGTAGTCCTCGAGTGAGTACAGATGCTAGTATCGACTTCTCCAATGGCTTAACTCAAACAAAGTTCTGCTGGGGTTTGGTCATTGTAACTGCAAGCCACCGAGGGGAGATCAGGACTTTCCAAAATTTTGGCTTACCAATCCGGATTTAAGGTGCCAACAAGGTCTAAGTCTCCGGAGTGTTTGTCGAGATGCCACAGTACACAGCTACAGCCAAGCTACCAAGTTTGTACAGATAGATTTGTAATATAAGTGATTTTTTTCTTTCTTTTGTATCAAAACTTAGATAAGGAATTGTGAAGAGGGGGAAAAGATCTATAATGATACAAGGATAGTATGATGAAAAGGAAAAAAAAAGAAGGTAGAAAAGGGATAGTTTGTTTTCTGTAATCAGCAATTGTAGAGATGGAAATCTTGTAATTTCATTGAGTTGAACAAAATTCTTTGAAAATTCATTCAAACTTCAAGTAGTATTTCTATACATTAGTAGATGAAGAAAATGTATGTGTAATGGTTTCTTCAACATTTATATGTAATTGTTCCTCGTTTCTTCATAAAGTGGGTATGGTGGGATGATGGAATTTTTCCGCCCTTAATGAGAGCCGAGTGTGAATTTCCGCGATAAAATTACTCCCTCTGTCACATATTAGTTGTCATGTTTTCCTCTCAAGCTCTTTAAGAAGTTGAATTAGTAGGATTTTCACTAGTTTATCCTTTTTTAACTCCTTCCAAAGTAATTAATATTGTTTTCTCTAAAAAGGAATTAATTTTAAGGATGATTTTTTTTATTACTTAAAAAAGGTAATTTGTTCCATCTTGATTTTGTAAATTGACAAATATTTTGGGATAAGATATTTTAGGAATGTTAACAATTTTTTTGGTTACTTTATGATATAACCAACATTAGACTTTTCGAAACCATTTTAGTCATCTCGGTTCTCTTTGGTTTTGGTACGATTTGGTTAATTTTTTATTTTTTAAACGTTATCCAATGAATATCACAATCGATAAAATTTGATAGAATCAAACACCCAAAAGTTACGATAGCAAAGAATGAAAATGCAAAAACACCTATTTTCTTATAATTGAAAATACAAAGCAAATATTGTGGAAATTTCACCTCAAAGTCTAGTAGTCTACATCTAACTAACTTAACTTGTTGTAGCAGCGACAATAGGTCTTATTTATGATTTCTAAAAACGCGTAAAGAGGAAAGTGAACAATTAATAAGAGACGGAGAAAGTATCACATCGGCTGAGTGAACATGATCATTAATGATCTCAATAAATAGATCTTGAGTCATTTTCAGGAGATATTTTACATTTACATTCTCACCTCTAAAACAAAGCGGTTAAATAAATGATTACTTGTTACTCTAACATAACATTTGATGGTACTTAAAATGCACTAAGTCATGACCGACCATCATATTGTAACAAATAAAATAAGCTTAATGCTAGAAAATAAAAGGACTAGCTCAAGGTTTTGGTCTATTAGTCAGAATGCAACACGTGATATGTGAATTATACACACTTTACACATTCAAACTCTTTCACAAACAAACCATAAATTACTGGTCCTCGAGAATTTCTCGATTTAAAAATACTCTTAGAATTTTTTTTTATCCAAAGATATGGGACACATTAAAACCCATACCTAATGCAAGTGGATTGCTTTGGGAAGTGAGCCAAAATATCCTTTTTTTTTATATCCATCCTATAATTGGCCATTTTTGCAAAAAGTTCCAAAAATATCAGAGGAAATCTAAACCTTGAATCCTCATTGGTGGCTAAGAATTGATATGGCAGATACTTCCACCAAAAACTATCTTATCCTACCCCTCCATACATATGCCTCGTTTTTTTAATTAAAGGTCTCGAGTTCAAATTTTATTAGGAAAAAACTCCTTTATTGAGGAGCCTTTACCCCATACCGTCCCTACCTAAGGGAAATCAAGATTACTCAATACCGTAAATTTCAAGTACCAGATGAATAAATAATTTTTTATTATTATTAAAAATGACACTTATTACTCAAGTCTAGTTAATGAATTTCTTAATACATATACAAGATTCGAACAAAAGCTAATGAGTTCACGAGAACTCTTTAACTCATAATCCAATTACACCCCTGATCTTTAACTAGAGATCTCAAGTTTGAGTTTTGAAATTGAAGGAGATTTTAACCCTTTAGTGGACCTATCGAGAGCGAAATAGAATTAGTCAGGCTAATAAATTTTGAATACCAGATGATTAAGAAAATATCCAATTTTTACAGCCATCATTCCCACTTGTGTATATATAAGTGAGCAAACCTCTGCTAGTACCAGTAGTTCTACAGACAAAAAATCCCAAAAATTCTTTTCTTGAACTTCTTAATGGCTCTTCAGGCTGCTTCTCTGCTTCCTTCTACTTTCTCCATTTCCAAGGAGGTACTTTTTTTTTCTTTTGTACTTAAAAATAGTCGGCGGATGTATAATATGTGTGTAGTCGTGTGTATAGTTAGTGTATAATTTATGTATATCGACTACTGTAAATATTTTTGACCGAGTGGCCAAATGTGTAGAAAACCCTAATTTTGCCCTTAGGTCTATCGGAAACAACCTCTCTACCTTCTCAAGGTAGGGGTAAGGTTACGTACACATTACCCTCCCCAGATCCCACTTATAAGATTACACTGGATATGTTGTTGTATTTTATTGAATTTTAGCGTGCAATTTGAATTCTTTAAGTTATTGTTGATTAAATTTTTTTATTTTTTTTGCTCATTTTGTTTATATTGCAGGGCAAAGCTAGTGCAACCTTGAAGAATTCTAGTATTTTTGGAGCTTCTCTTTCTGATTATACTAAATCTGATTTTGGTTCATCTTCATTTAAAGTTAAGGTACTAATGTAGTACATTAATACTCCCACAATTTCATTTTGTGACTATATTTGTATCCACTAAGTTTACATATGTTAATTTGACTTGTATAAAGATATTATAATAGTGATTAAAAAGGTATTTTGATAGAGAAAACATCATATTAACAATTCAAATGGCAATAGTCTAATGAATTTGTAGTTTTGTACAACAACAATTATGCCTCAATCGACCTAGCAAGGTGCGGTTGGCTATATGAATCCTCAGTGACCATGTTGCCTTAAGCTCGTCTCAAAACCAATAGTGTACATCGAATGAATCGGTTTCAAATATTTTAAAGTAAATTGTATAGAAGTCTAAGAGTCAAAAGTTTTACCCTGAGGGCTTTGGTTTAATGATCGTTGCACAATTCGTGATGTGATATGATTAGGTGCATTCCACATGTTTGAATGTTGTCCGAGATGAAATCCTGGTATTTAAGTGGAGAAGGCTAGAAGGTGGACACGTTATGTCTAACCGTGTGCCACTGCCTCTCGGGGATAGAAAAAAGTGTCATAATGATTGGAATGAAGGGAGCATAGTCTAACCTATCTATAACGGCATCAGTTGTGCATATATTATTTGGGGGTTTATAACGAAATGTTGTTATGGAGAACGTATAATAATACATCAATTCCAATGAAAACTTCATTGTTATAGTGAAATGTTGTTATAGAGACGTATGATGTTTTACTGAGATTTGATTTCTTACAGAGCCAAAGAAGATTGTCCAATGGTGCTGTCGTAAGGGCAACGATGGTTGCTTCTCCTGGTGTCACTACTAACTCTCCATCAGGAAAAAAAACACTAAGAAAAGGTTGTGTAATTGTCACTGGTGCCTCATCAGGATTAGGCTTAGCCACAGCAAAAGCTCTGTCTGAAACAGGGAAATGGCATGTTATTATGGCATGTAGGGACTTTTTAAAAGCTGAGAAAGCAGCAAAATCAGTTGGGATGCCTAAGGAGAATTACACCATCATGCATTTGGACCTCGCCTCGCTTGACAGCGTACGCCAATTTGTTGATAACTTCAGGAGGTCGGGACGACCTCTCGATGTGTTGGTTGCTAATGCTGCTGTTTACCAACCAACTGCTAAAGCGCCTTCATTTACTGCAGAAGGATTTGAGCTTAGTGTTGGAACTAACCATCTTGGACATTTTCTTCTTTCGAGATTGTTGCTTGATGACTTGAAGCAATCTGATTATCCTTCAAAGAGACTCATCATTGTTGGTTCAATTACAGGTAATGCATAAAAATTCATTGAATGCCACGGCTTTCGCATAGCTGCTACACCCTTTGCTAAGGAACTAAACAAATAGCTATATTGCTTGAACTCTTCAAAAATGTCATCGGATGTGTGTTGGATCCTCTCAAAAAGTAGTGCATTTTTTCTTTGGAAGATCCGAGACGGGGGGGGTGATAACATTTTTAGATAGTCTAAGGAACATAGTTGAATTGAAGCCCTTCTTTGTCAAAGACAACTCTCTCCCTTCTTGCTCTAGTGAAATAAGAGGCGCTAAAACCAGTGTCGGAGCCACATTTTTCCAAGGGGTGTTAATCTTTTGAATGTATGTTTACTATTTCGTTGGCTTTTTTGTGTGTCCACTTTTTTATATTATGACTTCTCTCAGTGAAAATCCTAGTTCCACCACTGACTAGAATGACCTTCATTTAGCTGGTTTCGCTATACCTATTCATCTATTGTCTCGAATGGATATTTAAGGATCTTTCTTTCACATAGACTTCTTTTTAGTGGGAGACTAAATTTTTCTTGACATGTCAGGGAACACAAATACTCTGGCCGGAAATGTACCTCCAAAAGCCAATCTCGGCGACTTGAGGGGTATGGCGGGAGGTTTAAACGGAATTAACAGCTCAGCGATGATCGATGGAGGTGACTTTGACGGTGCAAAAGCATACAAAGACAGCAAGGTGTGCAACATGCTTACGATGCAGGAATTCCATCGTCGATACCACGAGGAAACTGGCATCACATTTGCCTCTCTTTACCCTGGCTGCATTGCCACAACAGGGCTATTCAGAGAACATATCCCCTTGTTTAGGCTTCTTTTCCCACCATTCCAGAAGTATATTACAAAGGGATATGTCTCTGAGACTGAATCTGGAAAGAGACTTGCTCAGGTAATAACAAGTACTAGTACTGAACAAAAAATGCATTTATCTAACTCGTAGATTTGGGCTTTGTTGAGGGTCTATCAGAAACAACCTCTCTATCTCCCAAGGTAGGAGTTAGGTATGCGTACACTTCACCCTCCCCAAATCCCACTTGTGGGATTTCACTGGGTATGTTGTTGTTTAGTTTTGGGTTATGTTGATCGGACTTTTCAAAAATGTTTGTCCGGGTGCATGTTGGATCCTCCAAACATAGTGCATCTTTGGAGGATTTGATACGGGTGCGGCAACATATTAGGAGATTCAGAGCAATATAGGTTTGAGGGCCTAAATAGAATTGAAATAGAAACAAGTGCTAGTATTAACAGCAAATTACCCTGTCAACTCAAAAGATACATTTATCTAACTCTTCGTTTTGGTAGCTATGTTGCTCGGACTCTTCAAAAAATGTTGTCGTGGTGTGTGTTGGATCCTGTTAAAGTAGTGCATTTTTGGAGGATATGACATGAGAACGGCAACATCTTAACTCTTATTTTTGGGCCTGAATAGTAGAACATACATAATGCATATACATGATTCATATAGCTAAATAAGGCTGGAGCTACAGTCTTCAACGGAAAATTATACTGTGTATATAAGTGACATTACTTTTTGTGCATATATAATTAATCTTGAACACTCTTAACGAAGTTTCTGACTTTGGCATTATAGCTAAAGCGGACTAGTTTGGGAATGAAACATATTTGATCGGCGTATATCTGTCTTATGGCAGGTTGTGAGTGATCCAAGCTTGACAAAATCAGGTGTCTACTGGAGCTGGAACAAAGATTCAGCTTCTTTCGAAAACCAGTTGTCCGAAGAAGCAAGTGATGCAGAGAAAGCGCGTAAAGTGTGGGAAGTCAGTGAGAAACTCGTTGGTTTGGCTTAAATTTTGGACTAACCTTAGTCATCGTCGAAGAAAACAGGAAAATGACTTCACGAGTGAGAGTTTGTACCGGAATTTCTACGATGTTGTAAAGAGAAGTGTTATTGTAGTTAGGATTGGAAATAAAGATCACTCACCTTGTTTTGTTTTGTGTTGAAAAATGTCACTAATTTGTTTTTTGAAGTTAAATGAAATGATGGTTCATGAGCATTGTTCAATTAAACTTCCCTTCTGAACTTTTTCTCACTTATACTAAACAATACAATTTGACCTTATATTACATGATATAATTTTTCAGACGAAGGGTGTTTAACTGATCACCATTTGCCGTTGTAGCTCTGGTCCTAGTCAATCATCAATCAAAACTACTTGGGTCCCAAAATGGATGTGTTATACTAGTTGTCACAATACTTTACTGGAACTAGATTCAGATGGTTCAACATGGTCCAAGGGAACTCCTAGCTATACTTGGGTTGCAGAGGCGAATTCAGAATTTAAAATTTATGATTTTCTACAGCAATGTCAAGTTAATATTCAATAATGACTAGACTCACAATTGAATATTTAATGGAACCATTTTTAGAGTAATCTTTGGGCATTTAGGGGACAATTTACACGAATTTGGCGATTTTCTCAATTTTTCGTGTCGGTTAGCCCATGAATATTTTAAGTGATATGGCTTCCGAACGAATTTTTTGCGAAACCTTTGTGGAACCCCTCTTAGGGAGTTGGGGGAGCGCAATACGTAGATATTTAGTACTTTTCTTAATATATACACAGTTTAAGCAAAAGCTAATGGATTCACACGAACACGTAACCAATCCTTTAGGTTTGCCCTTGTTGGGTATGAATGACCAAATCACCAAATGGGGAATGTCAGAAATCCTCTTCCTGGATCAAGATGCTATTTTGATAGAAACAGATTTAGAATTTGAATTTTAGAAAATTGAGTTCAAAATTCTATTATAGTCTACTTGATTTATTGGGTTCAAAATCTATTATATGTATGCATTGATTCGATTTTTACCACTTACAGGGCATCGGCATGGACATGGACATGTGTCAAAAGTATTAAATTCGAATGAACTCGTAACTTTTACACTACATACGCTCTTGCATCTTGATAACTAGACTAAATGGCTCATCATGTTCTATACTTTATTGTGGGTTAAATCAAATTAGGACAAACAAATTGAAACATACTAAGTGATCTTTTGTAAGAATGCAACTGAACCTTGTAATACACATAACTCTACCACGATTGAAAAGGGCGAGTAGATAATTACCATCGATTGTAATGATATGGATAAAATTTATTTATTTTTAATCAGTTGTCTCGATTGAAAAAATGTTTTTTCTTTAATGATCGTCTTATAATAGACTTACATTCAAATTAATTGAGGTCCCAAAACAAATATCGAACATGACCTGAAGATCAAGTAGATAAGTTGGTGCACATCTCTATGTGCTATTGGCTCCACATTATCAGTACGAGCTTCGTACTATCTCCAAAATAGTTATTTGTGAACTACCATCCAATTTTTCTTTTTCATTTATCAGAAATTCAAATTCGAGACCTTTAATTAAAAGTGAAGAGATCTCAATCATTCCATCACAATTCATATTAATCGAAAGATAGGTACTTAGTAGTCGTTTGGTACCCAAACTGAATTATGCGGGAATTATAATCCCGAACTAATTTATTCTATATGGGAAATGAAATAAAATAATCTCAAATCCGATGAAATAAGGTGTGATATCTCAGGATTAAATCTGAGATAAAATTTATACTATTTTTAATTGACGATACAAAATTCAACTACATAAATTTATCTTGAAATGAATTTATACCGCCAATCAACATAATATAAATTTCAAACTTAATCATGAGATATCTCATCTTATCCCGCGTACAACGATGCCTCCCATACTTTATCTTTTGTCAGAATTCATTAATATATATTGGCATCTAATAGTCATAATAATGTCTGAAACATTGGTCTACTTATCTCTCACACATGTGAAACGTACGGCATATTCTTGGACACAACTCTGACAGATGACAGCTTTACCCACATTCACCAAATTATTATAAAACTTAATTAACCACATGATTAGCCGTAATATTAATTAATACTAATTATTAGTCCAACAATCTTTGAATTATATCATCACATGACTGCTAAAGCAAGCTAAGTTTCACACTATTCTAATTTGATTCATTTGTATTGACGCCATAAATAATTCATTGAGGAAAAAAATGCTTATAAAAATAAAAATAAATAACTATTTTGAAATTTAAATTTGAATTTGAAACTTCTGAGAGAGGGGGCAGGAAATTTCATCGATCCATCATATTTTTGTAGTTGCAATTTTTTTCATTTTGATAAAGAGTTCATCAGAATTTCTTCTCTCAAATATTACATTATATATAAATATAAATTTATTTTATCATATATAATAAATATTAAATTTTCTTAATTTTTGTATATTATAAATTTTTAGTTAAAATTCTGATTCCGCTACCATTTTCGTCTTGTGCCGCCTCCAACCTACTCCACTTTTCTTGTTCACCTTTTCCCATTAAAATTTAAATATTTCCTCTTCATTTATATCATTCTAATTATTGATTTTCTTGATAGACAATTTTAGTGGTTAAGACTTAACTTAATCTATATTTCATTTAGCATTTACGTTATATTTATAATAATTTTAAAACTGTAATAATAATTTAATTGACAGTTTATCAAGTTAATTACTACTAATATTTTTTATATATTTAAAAATGTATTTGGAGTTATAAATATTAATATTGTAAAGATTTTGTGTTATCAGTGAAGTTTAACCTATGATAAAAAAAATAAATAGGAGTACTAATTTATTACGTTACTAATCAATGTTTGTTATGAAAGTTTGCATCTAATTATTAGCTTATAAGCGATCTAATTGAATAAATATTTTTACATCGTGGATTCATGTAACTTAAATATTTAAAATGTATTTACAATTACCTTGGTCATATATCATTTTTTATACTTAAATATACATAACTTAAACTCTTCAATTTAACTATTAATATTACTTTCTGGACAACACGAGTAACATGGATTATTAGTCAAGGATAATACTAAACAGTCATGGGATTAAATTATAGTATCATTTATTTTGTTATTTGGTTGACAAGTTTGGGATAATTTATCTCGAGATTAATAATTAGTATCGAGATAAGTTATCTCTCCCCTTGGGTGGTATAGTAATCTCGGGATAACTTAACTCGGGATAAAATAGGTAAATGACAAAAATGTCTCTTTCAACCCTTTTGTTACATCACTTTTTACATTCATGAAGGACATTTTTATAAACAAATAAATTGTTCTTAAAATTTATTATTTTGACTACAACAAACCAAACACTCAATAAAAAATGATCCATCATAACTTATCCCATCATAACTAATCCCATCATAACTAATTTTATCATAACTTGAATTCAAACCAAACGATTAGTAGTGTTTGATTCCTTTAACTGTCCCTACCCATTTGTTGACTAGTTAAAAAAAATTAAATCTGATAAACCTTTCTACAATTATTGTTTTGCATAATCAATATTTTTTTATTTTATAAACCAATCAATATCTCGATATCGACTATCTGATTAATTCGAATTTTGTGATATCTGATTACATATATTTAATCTTTATTCTAGTGAATATACATTTACAATTTTTCATAATTATTAAATATTTTATAATTTAATTACACATGTGTTATATTAAGTTAAGCGTGTATTTGAGAGTAACATACCTCAATTGTTGTTTTAATTCACATAATCAATATTTTTTAATAAACCAATTAATATCTCAATATAAAAATTTGAATCCTTGTGATATCTGCTTACTTATATTTAACCTTTAATTATTGAAATGTGCATTTTAAATTTCTTTTTTAATCATGAATATATATTCACAATTTTTTCATAAGTATTAACCATTTTATTATTTAATCATGCATGTGTTATGTTAAGCTAAGCTTGCATTGTTAACGCATATTTGAGAGTAACACGCTTCATGAAAACAACATGCTATATTTCCTACGTAAAAAGATTAAAATCTCACATTTTTATTAGTTATTAAAGATCAAAAGTTATATATCATAAAATCAAAATCAGAATTTGTTTAATAACAGAGGAATCAAAATATTATTATCTTTATTTTTTTTCACATTTAAAGTTCAAACAAAAAAAAATTAATTAAAAAAGTTCTCATTGGTCACAACCACATATATCCTTTGGTGGTTCCAAAAGACAATAATAACTATCAAGACAAATTATGGAAATGGACAATCTAGATTAAGAACCATCTAATTTTAGTTTACTTTAGTTAAAATAAAAATATGAGCTGTCATCACAAATCTCTTTTCTTTTTTTTGGAACTATCAAGAAAATTCATTGTCATTATTTTTCGTATGCATATAGGATATATTTACTCTTATTTAATAATTTGTAAATCACATAAGATCTAAAATGTACTATATAAGCTCAATTAAACGAGCTCGACTGAAAGGCATTGATATGAAAGGTCACTTGTTGCATCAACTTTATCATCCTTACATCTACAAAATCCTTTTCTTATAAATTAGAGATGGTATATTTTCTTTATTTGATAATTAGTATTGACAAAAAATCAATTTTTTATAGTATTTTGTTTCTCTTTTATGGAGTATAATATTGATAAACTATGAACAACTCATATACTTTTTGACTAAATATAATATTCAAATATGCCCTGTTTTTCTGTCATATTAGACTATTAGTTCTTTTTTAAACAGCAAAGGACTTTGCTACTTGCTGTCTCTCCTATTTATGGGGATAAATATAAAATGAAGAACATGATTAACAAGGAATTATAAATGAGACAATCCAAATTTTCTTTAAATTTTGGAAAAAATTTAATTATTTGAAAAATATTGTAGCAAAATTAAGTTTGACCTTTATAAAAAATTACAAGTTGCTTGGTTGTATGAAATATTGGGAAAAATAAACCTAACAAGTTTGAAAATGATGGTTTAATTTGTTAGAAAATAACAAACGATCCCTTATGTTAAAGGTAAAATTCAAAATAGTCCTTTAGATATATTTTCTACAATATTTGGCGTCTAATTTTCAAGTTCAAATG